AGAAAAAAAATGGACACAAGAAATTAGGGCAGGTGTGGCGCTAGGGGGGCAGTGGCGGTAGCCCCAGAGGGCAGTGCCTGTGGAGGGCACTGCCTTGGGGGTGCCATCAACTCCAGCCGCTTTCTGTGCCCGGGGTGCCCGCGGCCTGCCCGGGTCTGGGCTGTCTCCTTAACCCCGTTCCGGTTTTTCGGTTCACCTTTGAGCGGGGCACCTCTTGGTTTGGGCCTGGCTTTGGTGCTGCTCGTTTGCAGATCGAGCCCGCTGCTGGCCAGCCCTCAGCCAGGGACAACCCGCAGGTTGTTACATGGACAAGTTACGCTGCTGCTCTGCCAGGCCAGCCTCAGCGCCAGCTCGGAGGAAGCCAGGAAGGAAATCCCTTTCCATATCGTGTTTATATCAGTGTGAGTCACCGTTCAAGGGATCCCTGAGAACTGGTACTTCCAACAGTGGCAGAAATGCAAGGTGTGAAAGGAAAAGTCGCTTCTCGCAGTGTAAAATGCTGCATGTTCCTGGAACATTTGCAGGGAGCGAGGTCGTGCTCAAACCCAGTTGTTTAGCTGACGATGCAGCATTGCCTGGTCCAGCGTGAGCTTTTACCCAGGTACAGGGGTAGAAGTGGAAATGCAGAAAAGTTTGGACAGCCCTAGAAATGCATGTTACAGACTACATCCTCTCTCCTTTGCTTCTAAACACGGTTAAAAATGCAGAAGAGGGAATGTATATGGAGGAGGTGTGTTTAAGTCCAACAGCGAGATAAGATACAGAAAAGGAAAAGCAAGGGTTCGAATAGTTTGCATCAAAACAGATGAACTGATTTTTTTACCCGTCAAAATACATTTTGTACTTGATTTTCCTAAAGAAAGCTCTCTTCTCGTTGGTTGGGTTAACTAAAACAATTTGATTTGTGAACAGCTGAAAGCTTTACGCTGAATTAATTATTTCTTTTTAGGTATCAGAAGAAAACCTGAAAAACAATTCTTTCGTGTTTTGAATTTTTGCTGGCTTAGTTTATAACTGACAAATCTTACTTGTTCATTTTAATTTCTGAGTCGTGCTCTATTTACATGAAAAAATGGGATTTAATTAAAATGTACAAAACAGTATTACAAAATTACATTTAATTGAATACAAATGCCTTAAGTGAAGAAGAAGGATAAGGATGTGAAGAAGAAATAAGGATGTGTTTGGTCACGTTCAGCGATCTGACAGAGACCAGCATTGCCTCCAAAAGAAGTAGGCTTGCCCTTCCTACACATCTTGCTGCTTCCTCTCCTTGCACAAGTGTTTGCACAGCAACATCGTGAGCTGGATCAGGGATCTGGTCCAGGTCAAACCTACTCTGGCCAAAAAAAAAAGTTAGTTTTAATTTAAACAAGGTCTCTGATTCAATTCAAATGCTTATGCTGGCACAGGCAAGATGGTAATGTGGTGGTTAGGGATGAGTGTTTGGGGGCTGTTTGAGGGCAGCGATTGTTTCTCTTGGCCGCAGCACTGTCTTAAAATGAACATGAAAATGTAGTTTATATGGCATCTGGACAGAAGGTGATTTGGGTCCAGCCTACTGAGAGCATAAGCTCAATGAGTGTACAAGTGTTTGCACCTGACCTGAGATTCAGCCCCTACATTTATTAAAAACACATTTTGCATTTTTAAACTAGCTTACTAACCAGAGGAAATACTAAATATTTTTAGTCATTTGACTAATTGTTTCAAAGGCATTTAGGTTTGCTGAAAACCCCATTAAATACCTAAACAGTTAAGTGTCTAAAATCTAAGGGAGTTAGGTGCTGATCTGCCTAAGAGTTTTTGAAAATTCCACAACTCATCTAAAACTGAAAATGTTTTCCAAAATCTAGCACTTGATCTTAATGGTTTTATGCTGAGTACGTCCTCCCCTTGTTAATCTTTTTTTTTTTTTTAATTCACTAGCTGGAAAAAGAAAAGAAACTTTTCTTTGCAGTTCCTAATTGGTGCTGTATCTTAAAGTAAAATTAGTTTCCGCCTTCCATGAATTCCTTGCACCTGCTTGCTGAACTTAACTCAAATCTAATAAAAAAGTCTGTCTGAATAACAGAATACTCTAAATGAGGAAAATTTAAATAATGGCATTTGTTGCACTGTGAAAACTGAGGCTAGTTGGGATACTTTATGCACTATGTGGCATCATGCTGTAATTGGAAAGCTTGGGGTGGTCTTACAGATACTTTTTGTGAAGCTGTAACATGATTCATTGCAGTCTGAAGATTCATTGATGCATATTTTTGTGTTTATATAATACTGATGAAGGTTGATTTGGGTGTAGAAGATTGAGATTTTGAAATATATTTCCAAACAGATACATTCCTAAAACAGGCATTGCTATTTTGACATAATTCCCATGTCCAAAGACATATATAGAATTAGAGTTATTTTATTAGCTTGGGGGTTTACAACTAATGCTTTTCTGGACAAACAGGAAATTGAAAGAATTTTTACATACAACATGTGATTCTAAGATTATGTCAAGGCACTCAGGAACATTTACATTACAGCATTGATTCCTAGACATTTCATCATGAGCACAAACATTACAGAACTGATTCTGTGGCATTTTATCTAAATATTAGGCTACTTCTGTGGAAGTAATTTTGATCCTATAGCTAAACCAGTTAAGTCTTCATCACTTAAATTTACATATAGGTTATTTATATCACAGTTTATCCTGCTAGTCTGATTTTATCCATTCAGCCCCCACCCCAGAGTTATAAACCTCTGTTTGAGCAGGTTTACAGACCACCAGAAATCTGCAAGACATCAGAAACAGATCCATTCAGGGGGTGAAATTTAAACAAAATGCTGAGTAAATACTGTTGTAAGCCCACACAGGTTATGTGTGTGAAGCAGATTGTGGTCACACCTGATCAAGAGTGGAGCCAAAGACTCAGATGGTCTCCTACCTGTTCATCAGAGGCACTTAACACATTGAAAATTGTAGGCCCAAAGATTGGATGAATGTTTTGGCCAGTTGAGGATTTTCCTTGAGTATCTGTATGTTCAGACAGGGTGCTGTGAGCACATGCAGGAATGTAGAATCAAGTCAGGCCATTACTATGGTGTTAGAGGAGACTCCTGCAGCATCTCTCTAGGTTTGTGCTCAAGTCCTAAGTTTCCCTGTGTTTTAAGAGTTTGAGTTGTTCTTTGGATTGAACCTGTTGCATTTGGTTACATATAGAAATATTCTTCCAAAAGATGACAAGAAAAATGTAGGTTTCCAGCTGTTTAGCTGTAGTGAGGATTGTCATAAGACATAGGAGTTCCTGAAGTTAACAGCAGTTTATGCCCACAGTGGATCTACTCTTCCAATAGAGGGTTATGAGATCTTTTAATGAGGTCTTTCACCTTCCTCTGCCCACTCCTATTTTAAATGAAAGTGGTGAGGTCTGAGTGTTTCCTATAGAGTGTAAAAGTAGGTGTACTCCTTCTGAAAGGATTCTAGGTTTTGAACCATGTGGGTTGGGGCAATGTGCAGCTTGATGTTAGGCATCCTAGCTATGGGCACCAGCTGGCTCTCCAGACAAATCATTGTACCCTTTTTAAAATTATTGATTCCATATTTGTATAGTGCAAAGGTAGAAAGAGGAGTGCAGTAAAGGAGTAATGAAATTCAGTAGACTAGGCACATTTGGCTAGGGCAAATATGGAGGAGTAAAGTACAGTTTAAAACTGTGTTCTTCAAAATAGACATCTAACAGCTCCACAAAATGAACTTCACTTTCTGCTTGGGATTTTCAGCTGTCAACACTGCTCAAGATGGGGCCCTCAGTTGAGTAAGTCATGTTATTTTAAGTGGGGTGGCCTGAGGGTGAGAGATGGACAAGGTACCTCACATAGCCTGAGGAATATCCTCTTCATTTTGTCAGTAGGAACCCTGTTTACATATTTCTGTTCTGCTTGGTACTGAAAGAAGAGAATTAATTTATCTCACATATAGGGTAGCATCTGGCTAGTTTTAATGTGTACTTGTCCCCAAAGTGCAAACTGATTTGTTGTCTAAAGTGGCTTTTTTTTTCTTTTTTAAAAAAACACAACATATATCACCTCCTGAAGAATTGGCTTCTTTACCAGGAACTTCATGGTAAATCTCTTTTCACTTTTTCCTATTGAAGTTTTTCTGCTTTTCATAAATAATTTATTCAAGAGACCAGAGGGATGGCTAATGAGAGATTAACTCAATGCCCAAGGGCTAGGGCATTTCCCTGGGATGTGGTAGAGTCAGGCTGCAAGATCTTGCTTCAATTAATAGTCCTTCCCACATCACAGCAGAGTGTGCTCACTGCTGGGAAACACATTTCTGTGTAAAGCTTCAGCTCTCTTTTGTGTGCGTTAGCCATGCACTGGCCTATATATTAGACAAAAAGAATACCAAGTTTAAGAATTCTGCTGAGACTAAATCATGAAGTACACTCTGAGTAGTAACGGTTGATCAGAGTTGTTAGGATTTTGGGCAGCATTAAGTATCCAAATGGGATTCAGCACCTGAGCAGGGATTTCAGTGGTTCTGCATGTTGGATTCGGATCATAACATAAGGCTTTGACAGGCAGAGCTCTGATGAATCTTGCTGTATTAATTTAAGAGTTACTGCATGAAGTTGTTTGTCCCCATGCTAGTGATTATTACCCTCTGAGAATCAGCAGAAAGGAAAGTAGTTTTGTGCCAGCTCTTACTCTGCTGTTCCAGTTCAAACCCACCTCCATCAGCCCTTTAAGCTAGATGACTGAGTTTTGCATAGAACTAAGTGAATTGCCTTTGCATATTCTTATTGGTGACCTCTGTGCTGGGGACAGGACCCTTCAAGGGGAGGCAGAGCATCAGCTGGGGGGAAGCATCTACCCGGGGGAATAGTATCTTGAGCTGTTGCAGAAATTTTTGCCCAGAGCTCACATATCAAAGCCTTTGTGGATCTAGCCCAGACTCCTCTAGCTTTGTTTTTGAAGGTTGTTCTGGCAAGGGAGCTCTTGCCACTGCTTCCTCACATTGTATAAATATATATGTGCATTCTGTCCAGGAACCTTTAGAAGTTTGCTACTAGACTAATATCAACTGGCAGTAATTTTCCTAGTATGTATGTAAGTGAGTTTGTATTTCAAATCTGTGGAATGGTGAATGGGCATTTGTTTAATGATGTGGGATAAACCTCAAAAACTTCATGCATATCAACTGAATCACATAGTCAGTAGTGGTAAATTGGAACTATTTGCTCTTTTGTGATCTTCACATTGCTTCTGCAGTTCAGAGTAGTCCAGTGCCTGAGCATCACATTTCCTCTATTGATTTAATGTTTAGAATCATTCATTTTGAAGATAAACATGAAAAATGCTCCCTTCAATTTCATTTTAATGCCCGATGTTTTCATTCAGTGTTAAAGGAATTCAGTTATAATCTGAGTTGTACAGTCATTCTAAAGTAATTTTCAAGACTACTGTAGATTTTAATACATCATAAACTTTATAACGGGTAGAAGATGTATTTCAGGAGTAGTGTGCAATTCATCAGTGAAGAAGGAATTTCTTATTTCCAATCTTGAATTTGCTACTGCTTTCTTCTGTGACCATAAGCAACCACCCTGTTTCTGTGCCTTACAATTTAACTCTCTTGGAGATGTCATGAGGATTAAAATATGTATGTATGCAGAGAGAAGTGAGGCCTATATCATCAATGTCATGAAAACTTTGAAGAAGGAAAAAGCAAAGCAGTGCAGTGTTACAGTAATATTAAAAATGTGATTTTACATTCAGAATTTTTTTTTAGTATGATAATAGCAACATGAATGTGCCCAGCTGCCTGAAATATTCTCTGGAACTTCCGTCTTGCTTTTTTATAAACATAAAACATTCTTTTCTATTTTGACAGTTAAAAATGATGCTGTTGAGGGAGTAAACAGATTTTAAAGTTACCTGTTGAAACAAGTAAGTCTTCTGTTGAATCTTCAAAAGGCTCCAGTAGTAGGAAATATGCTACCGAGTAATATATTTATTTGCAGTTCATTTTTTCAAAGTATTAGTGCAATAAAAAGAGATGCCATTTTTTCTGCAAAATTTGTCTCATTTTCTTCAGCATGTCAAGTCTATTATGTCAGTATATAGTATTAATCTTAAATGCAAACATACCACTTTTATCTCAGGAAGTCCCTGAGCTGCAAATTGCAGGAGGCTGTGTATTTTAACAATATATTCTTCCTTAGGCATCTTGGCTTCTGGCAGAGGTAGGATCCTGGATGAGACCGATTTTTGATCTGACCGATCTGACTGCTGCTATGTTAACTGGGTATTATAGTTGAAGTGCAGGATAATTCTTTTATATGGATGAAAGAAATGTGAAGTTTTTGCAGTGACAGCATTAGGGAATTAAACATGGAGGGAACATAATTTCCTTGGAAAGAAACAGTTGTCTTTGCAATTAGAGCACAGGTTTAAGAAAGGAAGTTAAGGAATCTAGGCACATCTGCTTCTGGCTCTGCTATATACCTTTAATTCAGCTCTGAAAATCTGTACAAGTTATTTTTGTATGAGACATTTATGAATTACTAGAGGGGGAAATGAGATTAATTATTTAATAAGAGTAGTAGTTGAAAAGAACACTAGTATTTGTTTCTGTTTCAGTGAGTATTACATTGCATTAGTCTTAATTTTTTTATCCAGCATGCTTTGACAAGTGAATGTAGGGTTCTTTGAAGTAAATACATGAAAAATAGTTGGTGGTGACAAAACTTATTATTAGGTCAGTCATATTATGATTTAACAAACTTATGACAGCAAATGTCACTTATTGGAAAGAATAAGGCTCTGTCGAGCATCCTTTGTAGCATTCTTGCACAGGGCTGAAATCTCTCTCTACTTGCATAAATGAACATTAAAATCTCATTTAATGTCATCAATAGCTAGACTACTTGGGTTACTGTGCAACAGCTATGAAGTTAAGACTGAGTATTAGGGGGAGTTATGTAAGTTGTAGTTAGTTTAAACCAGGATTTTTCAAGTTCTGATACGTAGCTCTCTGAGGTCCATTGAACTATTGTATGTCATCCATGTGAGTCAACTAAGAAAAGCAGATCAATCATCATCAGATTTTAATGTGCTCCCAAGGGCTGCAGCTTCACTAGAAGATGTTTCCAGGTCTTCAGATGAAGAGGTTGAAAACCATTGGCTTTGACAATACGACTCCAGTAGCCTCATCTGCAAGGGCTTGTCTACACAGGACTTTCCTGATTAACTCCATGTCTTATTCTACAACAAAGAGTCTGGTTCTGTTTACGTTAAACCATTTTCAAAGTACGATTGCACTTTGAATTCATACCCTACCTTAATCCATGTTAACTTTCCAGTGCATGCCCTAAGGGAGCAGTAAACTGAACTGAATGACTGTGTCCATGCAGGGGTTTAATGGAGTTTAACTAGCAGAATTCAAGTTAATCAAGGTACTTATTTCAGATTCGTTTTCTTGATGTCCTGGTATAGACAAGCCCTAAGAATAAAAGTGGTTTAGTTCTAAGTGAATGAACCGTGTTACAAAATCCATCACTGAGATTTTATTATATTTTTGTGTGTGTGAAATACAACTACTGTAGGGTATAAAGTAGTCTTTTTGGACTTGTTTGGTACCATCTCCTTTGTAGTAATTGCAGTTAGATCTGAGAAATAAAATAGTGTTTATGATCTGCAACAACTAAGTGCTTTATTTGATTTTCACTTTGGATCAAAATACATATGTTTGCTTAAATAGCAGAAACTTATTTTTCCCAGTACAAAAAAATCTGTCATCTAAATCATAATTTCAGCTATGACATTATGTGTATTTGATATGTTTTGAAGCAGATGAATGTTGTAACATTTTAAGTGTTTATAGCAAATCTGAGTATTATGGAAATCAGACATTTTCTGTAAATGGGAATATTCTTTAAAATGTCTGGTTTTGATGGTCTATGTGGGATTAAATTATAGTTTATTATATTCCTGAAAATACAAGTGTATTTTAAATATTATTTTTTACCTCAACTGCTGCCATACTTAAACTAAATTTGTATTTTCAGCTGTAACTTATAAAAGGTCAGCTCCTGTGCTTTGAAAACTCTGCGCAAGTTGATGTTGCATAAATAAGCATGTTTTACACAGCAGGCATATAAAGTTAACTGCCCCTTTGACTTGCATTCAGATTAATTATTCTTCATCATTTTTAACTAAAAGTAGTTAAAGAACTTAGCTTTTTGGTACTGTCCTTCAAACATTGATCAAAATTTTGTTAATACAGTAACACTAAAGTTTACACAAAGTAAAGCTCGGTTTTTCTTAGTGGTCAGCTCATGTCACACTAAAGCCCTGATCACAGATCAAACCAGCATTAATTATTTGTTTCACGTTGTGGTTGCTGTGTCAAAATCCTCTAAATACTTCTTGGAGCTGAGAGGGAATCTTACGGCCTGTGACAGAGCAGCTGGTCTGGACATGGGCTGATGCCCCAGTTGACAGGTTGTTGGATTAGAAAGAATATCAAAGGCAGTGAGTAAGATTAGGGATAAGTGAACATCTGACAGCAGTTTGCAGCAGGGGAGAACAGATGATAAACAATGGGAGCGGGGTGCGTGGGGGGGGTGAGAGGTGAGAAGGCCATGGGAAAAGTGTGGCGGCAATCACTAAAGCTCCAGGTTGCTGAGCCTCATGAATAGAACAGGAAATGGGATTTGCTGGGACAGATGTGCTGAGCGGTGATGAATACATTATAGGGAAATGAGGCTAAACTCCTAAAGGTGAGAGATGTTCTTTCTCTGAAAATAGAAAATATGAGAAAAGTTTACCCTCCCGGAGAAGTAAGCGTTAATACTTGAAAACTAATACAGAAAGAAGTAATGCTAATGGTAATTTTAATTAAAAGGTTATTCCGCAGTAGCATTCATGAGGAACTCTAGGTCATGTACTTCTGGCGTAACAGTCTTACAGTGCTATTACACATAATAGTATCGCAAGTATTTATTTTAAACCTAAGACTGCACAAATGGTAGAATAGTTTGAATGCTGGAACAGCCTGAATGGAGGCGCTGACTGGATAATGCTCAGACGCATATTCTGTATCTGGCATGTATT